CTAATATTACAAAATAAAGATATAATTTTAAAACTTTATCACTAATAAAATATATAATAATATTTTGTTTGCATAATTTTAATATAAAATATTTTATAAATTTTCAAATTAATAATAAAATAAAATATAGTAAAATGTAATGCAAAATGATAAATAATAAATTTTTTTGAAATTATAATTATAAAAAAAAAAAATCTTTAAAATCATTAAAATATTATATTAGTATTATTTAAATAAATAAAAATTAAGATTAAAATCAAAATAAATAAAATAAAATAAAAACAAATATATTTGAATTAAACTAAAATTACATGTTTTATATTATATTAATGAATAATTTATAATATTACTTTTTATTAAATTATAATTACATTGATATAAATTTTAAATTTAATTTTTTTTTTTTTTGTATTATTACTTTTTCCAAAAATTATAATAACCTAAATAAACATCAAATACAAAAATAAAATAAAAATCAATGTTACAAATTTTTTTCACCATCTCTTAATACCTCTTCAATTGTATATCGAACTTTGTTATCTGAATATTTAAGTTGTAAAATTTCTCCTATCTCATTACATATTTTTAATATTTCATTAAGATCTTGTTTTGAATGTGCTGCTGATACACAAAATCTTGCTCTTGACGATATCATTGGTGTAGCTGGATATGCAACAACTACAACTGCCAAATCTCTCTTTAAACATTCTCTAGAAAATGCCCTACACAATTAAGAATAGTTGTATTAATTAAATCCATCTTATAAGTATCAAAGGAAAAAAAAAAAAAAAAATCCAATAAATTATGTACTTACGGAATTTTGGCAGGATTAAATAATAAAAGGGGGATAATAGGTGAATCACGATCACCATAAATAATGAATCCCAATCTTCTCAGATTAGTACTTAAATATCTTGCATTAAATGCTAATCTTTCCAATCTTTCTTGTCCTTGACTTGTTCCATCTTCTCCCATAATGATAGTCATTGAAGTATATACTTGTTGAAGCACAATCGGTGTCATTGATTCCGCATATATAGAAGCATGGTTCGTAAGTTTTAAATGATCGATTATATCTTGACTTGCCGCTATATATCCTCCTGCTGCTCCAAATGACTTCGTAAATGTTCCCATTAATATGTCAACTTCGTTAGGATCTATTCCATAATAATCACATACTCCCCTTCCACGTGGTCCTAACGCACCAATACTATGCGCTTCATCCACATACAAATAAAACTATCATCGTCAAAGGAAATATATAATAAATTAACAAAACAAGAAGAAATTTCAAAATGAAAACTGATTACATATTACTTACTTTATACTTTTTCTTCAATTCAATAATTTTGGGAAGATTACATATACTCCCTTCCATGGAATATAACCCTTCTACAACTAAAAGTATTTTTTTCCATGGTCGATGCGTACGTGGTTGTCCTTGACTAATGCATTCTTTCAACAAAGCCTCCAAATCTGCCATATTATTATGTTTAAATACTCGAATGAAAGCTCCTGAAAGGCGACTACCAAACACTATAGAACTATGATTAAATTCATCGGAAATGATGAGACATCCTTTTGATACTAATGTTGGTAAGGTTGTGCTATTAGTAGCATATCCCATTGAAATAAGCATTGCTGCCGGTTTTCTTACAAATCTTGCTACCAATGATTCAACTTGATGATGTAAATCTGATGTACCTAAGAATGAACAAAAAATTTTGGATTTAGACACAGGAAAAATCAATTATACAGTTATTATAATAATAGTTATCATTATCGTACCAACTTCAACTCTAGGACTACACGTTGTAATTCCATATTTTAAAACAGTTTGCTCAACTGCATCAGCACAAGGACCTTTGCCTTGAGCAAATCCTAAATAATTATAACTACTTAAATTTAAACAATCTTTCGTTTTCCCTGTTAATTGAAAGGTCTTACAATAGTCTTTTGTTTCTCTTTCCAATAGTGTAATTTTTCTTCCCGGAACTCCTGTAACCGGTCGATTAAAACAATCATTAATTCTCAATTTTAATCTACGAACATAAAAATTATCAAAATCCGAATTTAATGGTGCATATCCCTATGTATAAGTTAATAAAGAAAAGTCTGTTATTGAATAACAATAATATCGTTACAATATTTGTTACTTCACATTTTGCATATACGTACATTCTGTTCTTTTAAGTGTTCATAATCTTTCCTCTTAAATCTTTTTCCAAAGAAATCTCGCAGATGGCCTAAACAAATAAGTACTAAATATGATAAATATGTTGTGAAAAGAAAATAATATTGTGGTTCTTCTTCAACCCAGCCAGGATCGTCGTCTCTTCGTTTTGATACATATCGTTGTTTTGCTATCATATTCGAACTAGAATAATTCGCTGGGGTTTCAATTGCTGGCAAATGAAAACTTTGAGCTGTTGAAGAAAGTTTCGTTTGGCTTCCTTTACCCATAGTAAAGAAGTAAAGGAAAAAAAAAGAAAAGGGCAAAAAAAAAAAATTAATTTATTTCAATACCCTTTTGACCAAAAAAATTTTAGAATCTGTGAAACGTGTGATTAAATAAATAATTACATCGCATTATGATATAAGATAGAGTTTGTTATATAAAAGACTTACCATATGGGCGCTTTGAAAAATCCTTAAGTATGATCTTTTTAGTAAATTAATTCCATATTTAAACACTAAACTCATAAAAAAACCCTTTATTGATTTGCAATGAGTGGGTTTACAAATTTAACCTGTGGTTTTAATCAGAAAAAAAAATTTCTAAAAATAATGTCAATAATATAACAACATTCATAGTGATCAGAGTTAGAGTTTGCCGATTAAAGACAATCCAGTTGATAGAAAAAAAACCCTTTTTGAAAATGTTATAGAGATTAACACATACCGTATTAATATAATGGATACTATTCAAGTCATATAGGTAATTTTTAATTAATACCCGGCTACTAATCAATAAAAATCGTCGTAACTATTATAATCTTATCATAATAATCATTATTGATACTATTTCTTTCATCATTCACATCTTAAAAATTTCTACTTATCTATCCCAGATTCAGAATCTAATAACTGTATTATGATTTTTTCGATTTTATATAAAATAAATTTATATACAATTTAAATCAAATAAAAAATAATTATAAAACAAACATATTATTAATTAATTAACGATCTTATCATTGTTTAAATGGGGCATGCTTGCAACAAAACCAGACAAAGTGAACATTCTATAAATGAGAGGCTGATTACGATGTGGCTGTAAGATTGACCAGTGTGACTGATGACATTTTGAAAAGTAATAATGGTGCTCATGGACTGGTTAATTTTAATGCTTACCTTATCATACCAGAATGTGATAAATATAAACCATAACATGATGAATATAGGATTATCTCTATATATAAAAAAAATATTAATATGAAATTAATTTACATTAAATCCACTATGGAACCAAAGAATTATAGCACTATTAGAAGCATTCTCAAAAAAGCTCAAGGAGAGAAAATTGTGCCTTATGTTTTTAAGATCAACGATACCCAAACTCTCCAGAAATATCTAGATCAAGAAAAAAATCACTTATGAAATTTATCAAGAAGAGTGAAAAATAATAAGCCAAAAATGAACGTTACCACTGATTTATGACAAACAAAAAAAAATGAAAATTAGAAGACAGGTAATAGTAAAAAAAAACAGTTTAACATAAAGACCTTCACTGATCGAACGACCTATCAACGAAAGATTGTTTCTTATAGTCTTGATAGAAGACTGCTTAAGCGCATTCATTGAGCTTTGACCATGTTCACTACTTTGACATAATGCAATTAAAGAATCAAACAATGTAAAAATAATTCAAATTTTTTTGTAAGCATAAATTTTATTATTTCAATTATTGAATGTGCGCACTTGATTTATTAAAAGTCTAGACAAAAACTATTTGATTTACCTCTAAACTCTTTTTTCTTTGATGATAAACAAAGATTATTTCAAACACATAAAACACATATTGAACATCTTTGTTGTTCTTTATGGTAGTATAACAATCATCAACTTATTGTGTAACAATTAAGAGATAACATTTTAGCAAACAAAGAATGTAGGTATTTAGATTAGTTATATGACAAAATATGAAAATAAGCAACTGATTTAACACATGTTTTGCATCAAATTTTCTCATGATATAATAAATCAGATAGTAATGATCACATGCAGTAAATACATAAGCTGAATCTAAAAACACGCAATAAGAGGTATATTTCAAATATCAATCACAGGGGAAACAATTGAACAATATAATTTAATGCTTATAATTATTTCACAATATGATATGCTTATAGAATATAGCAAGATATAAATGCGCAGCTACACATTCTTTTCTTTCTTCTCATAACTTGACAACATAAACTCGAGAGAAAAATACCTCTTTGATTACAAAGAAAAGTATCCAAGTGCTTCTTATAAACAAGCTATAGAAGCCTACAAATAAGAACAAGATAAATAAGCAATAAATACATGTTTATTAAGAAGATAGTTGAAATACATTATGACATATATTGGGTTGAGACATAGAGCAGAGTCATAGCAAAGGTTAGATTATATGAAGACTCATTTTAAAAATGAACTGAGACAAGAGATATTATGCATTAAATAGAGAAGCAGATGGAGAATGGTTAAATGCATCACAACATGCATATTAGGAGGCATATAAAATAGAACATAGCAAATATTATTATATCACTGTATGTCTGTTTTAGCTCATTCATTTGAGTAACCTTAGTGTGCTATTTGCAAAATTGACTAACTGTCTCCTTTTGCATTCCTTTACATTATTTCTTTTCTAACCTATGGTGGTGGCTTCAGCAGAAGGCGAACAGAACAAAGTCGAAGCTGATATTTCATCATTTTAATAAAATGAAGTAGAGCTAGCTTTAATTTAAGTTACATTGATGCTGAAAATTTCATTGGAGATTTCAAGCGTGAGCTTCATGCTAAGCACTGATATTGGACGAAACATTGAACTAAATATGTTCTATACTGGATATTATTCCAAGTCTCAGAATACAGCAAATCTCATCTTATCAAATAGGTCGTTAAGAACATTCCCATACTTTACCTTTGCTTATGTCTTACACAAGTACAAGATACCCTTTACGAATAGAGATCATTGCAAACTTTTAGAAAAACCTTTTTCGTATACCTTCAGTAAGTAGAAGAAAGGCGACTTACTTATATTCTTTTTCAGTTAATGAATTTATTTTACACAAAGAGTAAAAGTCACTCACCTGAGCACATATGAGACTTACAGATGGGCTTTGGGTTCTTCCTTCTGGACTAAGGTTCTGAAGAATATAGAGAATTGGAAACAAGTGACTGAAAATGACATGTTAGAGATTATATCTCAAAATCTCCCTTGGCAGTCATATGGACAAGAAGATGTTAAGATGATTATATACATCAAAAAGGCTCAGTCTCTTCTTTCTTCTCAGAAAGATGCCATTAACCCATTCAGACTCTTCAAAGAGCTTTATAACAGATCAGCAGGCAAGGCAAATGGACAGGATTCTTTATATTGTTTCTGAATACACTTAGTAAAGTAGCAAATTTTATACTATCTACTGCAGCTGATCTATCTACTAGAAATAACAATACGAATGTAGACTAAAAGAATGATATGATTCTTTTTACACATTTTATCAAGTTTTTTACCATGGATGTATTTTAGCAAAGTGAAATTCTACTTGACATTATTAACCCAAAAGATAGAAAAATGTTTATGCTGGTAAGATTAGGAAGACCACTAGGTTATAGTTACTTAGAGAGCAACAAGAAAAATCCTAGACGTCTCAAAAATTTGATAGAATATTTCAAAATCAAGCTCCTTGGGGGAGTTAATGATCTGACACATGCTGATATTACCTGCACAAGCATCACCATTATATCTCTGCTGGCTTACCTGAAGATCTCATTACAACTAATACTAATATCTGATCTTGTCGCATTATATGCAGCAACATGCTATGCAATCTTAGAAGACAGGGAAAATCTGTTAGTTGATTACCCCTCAGAGCCACTGTTGGTAGAAATGGGATTCTTTCTGATTGAGGATAAGTGTAACTTGATCAAAGTTTTAAAGATATTCAATGATTTATTAAAGAATGGTATTGTAGAGTCTGGTTTACGTGAGGAACTTGTGACATGATTAATTCTGATTCTTGCAGTCAAACACCTTAAAAAAAGGTAGTTTAGTTTCTCCATCATTCTTAGAGACTTTATTCAGCTGTTTTACCCAGACAATGAACAAGCACTCAAGTACATTCTGGATGGCTGTATTGCTTTCACACATTTTATTTTAGTTAATTACGTACCAAATAAAGTAGAACTCAAAGGATATTATTATTACTGCATTATAATTATCTTTAAATTCAATCAGCAGGCAGCTGATCTGATGATCCCAATATTGCTTGCAAATGGGCAGTATTCCTTTATTCTTAGCTAAGTGAAAAATTATCACAATTCATATGTAAGTGCAGATAAGAAGTATCCCTCGTCAGCCAAGATGCGTCTTGAACAAGTTTTACAGGTAAAGATCTTAAGAATTACAGTAGAAAGTACTTAAGTATTTATTGGCAGCTCAGATATACTGGCAAGTAATTTATTGATCTACTGGAAAAGTTCAAAGATCAAGGGCAGAAAGGACTTACCACTTGTTCATATACCAAATCTGAAAGTCAGATGAAAAGACTTAATAAGAAAATAATATTCATATCTTCATTTAAAATAGATTGCTTTAAATTTTTGGATAATGAAGTGATGGGAATTCTGAAATAGATGATTATCTCTTATGTTACTCCTTTTGATCCTGAATGGAGAACAGCAAATCCAGATTTTGGAAGAATCTGAAAAGAAAGAAGTATTATTAGATTCCGTTTGTATATTTCAAGAGAAGGAAGAAAAAAAGATAAACAATGAAGAACAAGTAGGTTGCATAAATGAAAGCTTATGTATTAAGGAAAAATAGTGCTTTTTTAGCAAGAATAAATATTATAAAAATGCCTTTGCAAGTTTATTGTCAATGTTTTTAGCAAGTATATTATAAAACCTATGTATTCACTTTTATAATGGATAATAAACTCAATATTAAATCTAAATTGAATACTAAGATAGCATATTTTTTAATGACTGAATTAAGAATGATAAATGTCCTTCAGTAAGATATATATATCTATATTAACATAAGATTACGTATATATGGAAAGATATGTAACTATTTTATTACAAAACAATAAAATATATATATATAGAATTACCTGTATATAGAAAATTGTAATTATAATGGTTTGATTGAATATGAAAAGGCTATGCACTTTTTGAAGCTGAGTTGCAATTGCGGCTCTCAAAAAAGATTTTAAAAAAAAGTTTGCTAAGTTACGTGAAGCATTTCAAGTTCTCTCTAAATCTGAACAAGATATATTTTTAATGATCCAGTTGAAAGCAATAAATAGTGAAGAAAACATTACCAGTTGATGTCTTAAAAAGAAAATATGTACTAATAAAAGAACTTTTTATTATTAAGATCGCAATACGTTTCTTTATCAAAAAACATATCTCAATATATTAGAAATTAGCTGTGCTTACTTCGAAAATGTCAGAAATCATCTGGCAATAAATGGTATAATATCACATATTCATAATAACATAAAACAAATGCTGTGATGGAAAACTAAAATAACCATTGATACAACCATTGCTACATCTGTAAAAAATTTTCTCAAAAACTATGTCAAAATTCATGGATTACTAAGTCCTAGTAGACACATTAACTGAATTATCCAATCATTTACACTTTTGCCAGCTAAAACAAGTTACAAATCAGTCTATTGTAGTTTATTATAGGTCTTAAAAATGATAGCATATTGAAATTATTAAAATATGACGCATTTCGCAAGTTGTGACATCAATTAACACCTTATATTCAAATTATGAGTCTAAGAATAAATTTATATAACACATGTTAATATTTTCAAAATGGCTTACAGTATAAATTAGAAAGAAACTATTACAACAAAAATACGAAATTAGTAGAATAACAGAGGAAATTGGTAGATGATAGTTACGTTGTAAAAGAAAATAAAGCTGATTATTGTAATGTTAATGTCACCGCTGTTAACGTTACTCTTTCCGTCGAATAAGTTAACTATGATTTGAAGTCAGGGAGGCAATAGTTATGACTTAAATCCAATCAACTTGACACGCTGTTTATTAGAGTTTATTTAGTTAACAAGAAATAAATTATAAGTTTT